TGGCCTTCCCACAGACCCTGGGCAGAGCGGCCACTCATGACCGCTCCCCAGCCCGTGAGAGAGGAATCCTTCGTTAGCATTATTTGACGACAAGGAGCTCACCCTGCTCGTGACGTCTCGCTGCTCCATTGGACGGATTTGACACGTGCTTCAGAACGCGGTCACGCAAGGGCGTTCCCAAAGTGAATCTCGACGCAGCTCGAGTTCCTGAAGGGGAAACACACTAATAAATGTTTTAAACTCTAAAAGATACTTCATATGCAAAGTGCATTTAAAATCAGAACAAATATCTCCACTACCTAAGATTGCCCCAATTCAAATACCATGTGCAAAAAAAAAAGAAAAGAAAAAAGAAACACTGAGATCTAAATATTTCCACTTATGGAACTGACTGAATATGAAGTTAAAATTGAGATAAAAATTAGTTTAGTGATAGACAAACACTGAATACATGCAGTCGAGTCTTTATTTGCACTTTAATGGCTGGATAAACTCCTTCCATTTTCAGATGTGTATTGCAAGTTTCCCTGTCTGCAAAAAAAGATTTTGTTGGCTCAAAAACACAAATGTGTTGAATCCAAATTGCTCAGACTTTCTCTCCCTTCAGTAAAGCCTGATTTAACACTTCAGCAAAACAAAAGAAAATAAAGCAGATGCTGTCAGACCTTAAGGACCCTTTAAAATATCCAGTGACACTTCCTAGGCTCCTAGGATGGATCTGGTCCGCATCGATTTTGGTACGGCACTAATTTAGAGGGACACCAATTTGGAAAGGTTGATTCAAGTGCTTTTTTTCACCGACCCTGCTGCCTGTGTTTGTTCTATAAAGCCTGAGTCCCTCGCTTAGTCTGAAAAAGGCTGTCAAGGCTGTGGCACATCTTTCTGATTGATGGGCTGCTCCGTCTCGTTCTCAAATGTTGTCTCTCTTTCACTCACACATGGATTCAGAATGGCATGCACAGAGTGGTTTAGTCATTCTGCATCTTGCGAAGGATGCTATATTTTGTCTAATATCAACCACAGAGTGGGTTTCATAAACGTTTCACACACATTTATTGTGATGTGTTTGCTTTTAAATGAATAGATCACAGCTGTTCCATAACCCAGTGAGCTTCCTTCTGCAGGCAGCATTTTATTAAGGCATCATATGTGCATTCCCAAAGTCAAAGCTATTTTTGGAAAAAATTATATGACAATGTCACATGTATCCTTCATGGAGAAGGAAATAGCATTGCGACAAACGCTATGAAAAAAGTAAATGTAAGTTGGTGAACAATGCTATTTTAGTTATAAGCGGACTAGCAGAAAAAAGTAAAAGTGCTGATATATATAATCAATTATATTTTATATTGTATTATATTATAATGATATTTATATAATTATAACAATATAAATTACCATACATGCCTCCATCTAATAATTTAAACGGGTGTGTGCTATTTATTTATGCTTATTAAAGGGGTCACATGACGTTGCTAAAAAAGAACATTATTTTGTGTATTTGGTGTAATTAAATGTGTTTATGCTGTTTAAGGTTAAAAAAACACATTATTTTCCACATACTGTACATTATTGTTGCTCCTCTATGCCCTGCCTTTCTGAAACGCGTCGATTTTTACATAGCTCATCGTTCTGAAAAGCAAGGTGTGCTCTGATTGGCCAGCTATCCAGTGCGTTGTGGTTGGCTGGATACCTCAAACGTGTGACGGAAATGTTACCCCCCCTTACCATACTGTGATGCCGTCTCCCGGCACGACAAGACAAAACCAATAAAACCCATTACAGACGAGGCATTTGTTGCATCCAGTGGGGACATAATTACTGATTATAGGGACTTATACTGTCTTTTTACACGTTGCGTTGCATCGCTCCACGTAAACATAAAACCATTTCTGCATTTGTGATTGGAGAAACAGCAAACAACAAGCGCTACTCTACACTGCTCAAAACTCGCGTTTGAATCATCAGTGGCAAATTCTTTAAATATGAAAACATACTTACAGGCTGTGAGTCAGAACAGCTGGCATTCAGTCAGGAAACAGTCCTCCATAAAATGCGCTGCACACATCTTAATATTTGGTTTGAACTGTTCTGGAACAGTGTTGTAAATGCAACTTAACCACTGATTTCTAGTTGTGTCCTCTTTTGGAAGGCCAAACAAAGTATTTTCGCTTTCGCAACGAAACAGACACAGCATCTTCATGACATGGCAGAGACGGCAGCAACAATACTACAGCAAGAATAAAAGTTACGCATTCTTTCCTTGCGTAAACATTTGTGCGGTGTTACACAGTGACGTAGACCGCCACACAGTGACGTAGACATGTGGGGGCATGTTTAAATGAGGAATTTTAGGAGGGCGTGGATGAGTCTTAACTTTTAAACATAATATCTCTTTGGGTTTGAGACTTTAATCTTTGCAACTTTAGGGATCTTATCTATTCACGAACAGCTTGTAACACTCCAAAGAGAAAGGAAAACTTGAAATCACATTATACTGTATGACCCCTTTAAATTATTGCTTTCTAACAGTTTTAAATGCAACTCCGTCAAGTTATTGACGCTATTGAGTGAACACTTGGTTTCCAGAAGAAGAAATTATTTTCTTCTTAGAGACATTCCCCCACTGCCATGAAACATATTAAGTTTTAGACTTTTAAATGATTTGTATATGTGCATATTTGTAAATATTGGATTAATTTGAATTATATACTGTATATATATATATATATATATATATATTTACATATTTACATATGAAATATATATGAATTGAATATATGAAATTGTATATATTAGAAAATCCCCATGGAGAAATAAATGTGAAAAATACTGGAACCAAGGTTGAAAATGTAGGCAGTTACTGTTCTGCTCTATTAATGCCCATGGTTTTGAAATAAAATGTTCAAAAAGCACATTTGGATGTGATGTTCTGGTGTACAGTACCTTGTTGTGTTTCTGACTTAAGGTGCTTTAATGCACAAGTCCTGAATAATGCCGCCAGCAATCCTCCTCACATTCCATACACTTTATCTCAGAGTTAGTGAGTTAAAATGCTTGCTTTGGATGCATGCACTCACTCTCTATTTATAGTTAATGCTTTTTAAAAAAGAGCCTTTGTCTCTCTCTCTATCGGTTTCTCTCTCTTTTTCAGGCACCGCTATGCCTCCGTTATTGATTTTATGTTTTTAGTATGCATGAAAGTGAGTGTATGTCAAACAAGAGCTGGCTTTGTGAATATCGACGTGCATGATTTTTATTCTAACCTTGTGCCATTTTTGTTGGCACTGTGTCTGTCAGTAATTCTGCTTTCATGTGGCTCTGTCTTTCTTTCCTCTCCCTTGGTTTTCTTACTTCTCTTTTCGCAGTGATAGGTGTAATAACTCATTGTAGTGAGAGTCATTTGTTTTTGTGTCTGCTGTCTGACGAGGATCACAAATATTGTTGCTATTCATCAGTGCTGCACAATACTGATATCAGTACAATGTAAACTAGGGGTTCCCAACTTTTTTTTTTTTTAACAGAATACGTTTTAAATATTATAAACTTTAATAAAATACAATGATAATTTGTTTTAATTATACGATTTCAAATGTTAAAATATCTTTTATTTTTTTTGCAATTGGGATTTTTTATGAACATTTACTGTTCATGTTTTTTAAATAGCAGACGTGTTTATTCAAATTAATGTACAATGCAACATAACTTGTTGGTTGAAGTGGTGCACTACAAAGTTTCAAGAGGTTCATGAGCCCTCAGTTGGAAAGCCATGATCTTAAATTCATTTTATGCAGTTAGTTGATCAGTCGGTACTGGGCACCGTGAGATTCGAGGCTCACTGTAGTATCTGTATGTGTTTAGGCATTATTGGGGTCAGTGAGTTATAAATTGATGCTGTATTGGGGTCAGTGGAGAAATGCTTTTAGGGTCTGCTGACTGTCAGTGATTTAGGCTGTATTGGAGGCAGTTGAGTCATGAGTTTAACACCGCTGACCTCATCACAGTCATCTACTAGATCACATCACACAGCCTGCAAATCCATCAGCCTTTCTTAAGGGCAGAGAGGTGCTTTACATCAGCAACTAATGGAAGCACTGGAGGAAGTCTTTCAAACAGTAATATCTGACTAAATCTGATTAAAAGCGGCACAGTTACATCACTACACCACTAATGTCTTCATTTAGATAAGTATCAGAGTGCTTTTTATGATTACGATATGATATATTATTGCTCACTGTAATACAGGGATGCAAACCTTTGACCTTTCTGTGAGTTTGGATCGCTTATAATATGCATTTGAAAAAACGCAACACATGCCAACCATTTCCCAAATTTGTAATGAGTATAATAATTATATTAATAATAATAATAATAACAATAGTGTGAATGTTTAAAAAAACTCTTTAAAAATGTTTTAAAAGCACATTTTAAAGCTGATATTTTAAAGAATTTCTTACTGGGGCTTGACCTTTGACGCACTGAATTAATTTATTCACAATAAAATGAATTAATGTAAAAATATTGACAAAATTTGACAATCTCCAAAGACAAAAACTCTACACTAAAAACAGCATATGAGAAACTAGCAACTGAGATGAATAATATCAGAATCTCAAAGCTGATGCAATGGATGACTGCATCAGAAAACTCTTGTATATTGGCATTAAGGTATAATGTTACTTTTGACAACAATAGAGACTCAAAATAAGGCTGGAGGCAAACAGGAATGGTGAAATGCTCAAAGTGAAGAAAGAGAAATTAGGGCTTGTATGAAAATATGTGCATAGTGAGACCCAAAGCCGGATCTGTCACATTTATACCTAAACAGGTTTCTAGTTTCATCCTGCTTTTGTGTTGGCTGGATGTTGGCATTATGTAGATGCCAGCTGCGGGGGATTGTCACACCGTCAAATGCTTCTGCCCGTTGTTTTGTACGATAAATATGTATTAATTTTTTTCTTTCTTTTTTCTCCTTTCTCTGGTTCTGTTGTTCAGCTGTCTCTCTCTCAGCTGGTTGCGACTTCACGCTACCCAACCATGAGCCACACGGTGGGGTCTCCATGGCAACAACAGCTCCCCTCTCTGCTTTCTCCCTCCCCGATGGCATCGGCCCACCAGCTGTCACATGTCATAAGTTTTCCACCCACATATGCACGCACACACTCACATGAACACACAAATGTATAAATGCTCTTTTAAAACAAAGCACAGAGATACATTCATGCAAAGGAATAAAACACCTACACTCAAAACATAATATGGCATTGAAAAAAATCACATACGTTACCTCAGTAAACAGACACCTGTACACCACGAAAACCACAATACACCTGTCGAGAGCAGAAGAAATTTCATATTAAAATAGGGTTTTTAAACTGCAGCTGTTCACTACCATTTTGCAGGTTAAAAACTTTGTATCAAACTACAGAGTACATCTAAGAGCCCCATTAACTGTCCTATTGGTTTGGTGAAATTAGCTGCTCCATGAAAATGTTTCATGCTTGCGAAAGATCTACTGTAAGTGCCACTTTCACATTTTCTTTACCGCAAAAAACTGGAGAGATAGACCAGAACTTTAAAACTTGATCAGGTTCAGTGAGTGTACACCACTATATCGGGAAATCATGCAAATTAGTTTTAAGGTGATTCTTCAGCTCCACATCTCATAATATATCCATCAGTGGTCCAACGGATTGGTTCACTTGAGCTCTGTAATACATTTATATGATTAATGATTCGTATGATCAGCAACATTTTATGTACTGCAAGACTTTTCCACTGTGGAGCTTGAATGTTGTTGTTGTGAAACCGTAGTTTCCCTGATGATACAAGAGTTGGCGATGACATGATACTGCTTTTTTAAGTAAACAATGGAGCGAGTGCACTGTGGAGGAGGATCACATCATATAGAAAGATAAAAGTTCCCAGACTAGCTAAAAAGAAAATTGATTCAGGTAATATTATATGATTTGAGTTAAAGAAAATAGTTCACCCCAAAATTTAAATTTGCTGAAAATGTATTCACCCTCAGGCCATCCAAGATGTATTTGAGTTTGTTTCATCAGCATTACATCACTTGAGAAAGGGTGCCGTGAGTCCAAACTGCTGATAAAAACATCACAGTAATCCACAAGCAGGGGCACATTAATGCACAGGCTTCAAGGGGCTGAAGCCCAGGGGCCTACACTGGAAAGCGTGCCCACTGGCTGCATTGAAATTATATTTTTTGAATAATTATTTATATGGGAGTTTGCAGCAGTGACAACAGCATTCTGTAAACAAACTCATACACTCATTTTCAGCGACTCCCTGGTTGTAGTAGCCTATATAGTGAATGGCTCAGTTTAGCTTCCACCCCACACAGTTTGTATAGTTGGTATGTTCCACGTGTTCCATCGATATACTGTAAGCGGAATGTACAATGCATTCGCTAGTAAATAACCGCAGCGTGAGAGTATGTTTATGTCAACACGCAGATTAACAGAAACACAACACTGCTGTGTGAAAGGAACTGGACCGGACAACGTTCTGTAATGTCATACAGTGAGAGTTCAGTAACTTGCTTGGATGTAATCTGTGTGTCATCTGTGTTCCATAAATAGTGCTGCTTCAAAATCTCAATTTTAAATCTGGGGATGGAAAAATAGGAATTGTCCTATTGCTTAAATGTGATCATTAAACTTTATACGGCTGTGATTTAACTAATTAAACGTGAGCACATCATGTTTCAAAATAAAAACACAGTTAGCTATCACCAAATAACCCACATTTATGCCAACATGCCGTGTTGTTTCGATCTACTGATGATGAATAATGAATATTTTGTGTGATTTATGGTGTTTAAATAATACCTGCAAACACACATTTCAGCCAGGAAAGTTTTGATGGCATTTTCCTTTCATATTACCTCTGTATAATGCCCGTAATAACGTAGTGTTTACTTTATGTAATGGCTATATAATTCTGCTGTTCCACAAGCGCCATCTTGTGGCAAAGAGTGAATTTGCATATATTCACATTTTACGCAGAAGAGTGTTGTGAATGTTAACTGGCACTGCAATGCTGTAGCCCAGGGGCCTTTGGTTATCTTAAGGCGCACCTGTCCACAAGTAACCCATGTGACTCCAGTCTGTCAATTAATTTCTAGTGAAGTGAAAAGCTGCATGTTTGTAATAAACAAATGTATCATTAAGGCTTTTTAACGTTAAACTGTCGCTTCTGGCCAAAATCCATAATAGCACTTTCTCTAGTAAAAAAGTCCATCCCCTATTGCCCTCTCACAATAAAATCCACCAACATGTTTAGAGCCATTTTGAACTGTTTTCTCTAGGTGGATGATCTGTGTATATTTCTTTCCTGATTCAGACAAGACGTCTTTTCACTGGAGAAAGCAATATTATGGATACAGGACTCATATATAAGCTGAAAGCTTATAAATCCATCTTAATTATGGATTTATTTATTACAAACACAAAGCTTTTCTTTTCACAATACATTAATTGGTGGACTGGAGTCGTGTGGATTACTTGTGGATGATTGTGATGTTTTTATAAATTGTTTTATAAACTGCATTGGATCCATTGGTGAGCAAGTGATGTAATGCTAAATTTGAGGAAGCAAACTCATCTACATATTGTATGGCCTGCAGGTGAGTAAATGTTCATCATATTTTGGGTTGAATTATTCTTTTAATGTAATTATTTTAATGTTTAGCTGTTCTTTTAGTGTAATGTACCTTCCTGTGTAAAAATATACTGTATTATACGATAAAACCATCAGTGCATTATTACAGCTGTTCTACAGCATTGCCAGCTAGCCATGCTGAGAAATCAGGACTGGGAACGGTTTGTAATGGCAATGTGCTTTTTTATTTAATGGAAATACAGTGTGGTTAGATGCAGCCTGTATAGAGTGGGTAAATAATATCACACATTTTGCACAAAGATATTCACAGATATTATGTTAATAATGTTTGGGAGCATGTATGTTTATGCCATTGCCTTTAGTCATGCGGTGCATTTGATTTGAGAGGTCTGCACAGGCTTTAAACTGAAGCCCGAACCCGACCCGTACCCGAGATCGTCTGACCCAGCCCGACCCGACCCGAGTGGCACAGTTCAATTTAGAGCCCGAACCTGAAATCTCTTTTTTCCCCCCACAACAAATAGCCAATTAAAAAAAAAAAAGCTGTATTTCACGATTGCATGCAACGGTCAGTAAACAAATACATGTAAAGAAACAGAATCATTAAGGCTCGGCCAGTTCACAAGGCAAAAGAAAAAACACTTACCAGTTATGAAAGTTTATGAACATCAGGTGCCTCGGTCACATAAATTCTGCCGAGTTTTTGAATGGTTGTATACAACAAGACGATAATTCATCGTGCAAATTATGGTCATCTTCTTCAGTTAAGGCTCGTTAGCATTCGGCCTGCTTTAAATCAGACACAGAGATGCAGTGCGGTAAGATCGCATTTATTTGAATTAATTAATTATATCATTTATTTGAATTAGAGAGAGAGAGAGAGAGAGAGAGAGAGAGAGAGATGAAAGTTGCGTGTGTGAACCTGCGTCTGCGCGCCTCTCTCTACAAGCAATGAGGCTTATGCCGAGTTCACACTGCACGATTTTCAAACTCGTCAGATCGCCGTTGTTTTCACACTGCGTGACTATCTGGGGCCAGCATTCAGTTGCTGCTGTGTTCACATTGCACGATGGATCGGCGACAGGGGGTTTCACACTGCATGACTTCACAATAGGAAGAATCGCTGACAGCTCTGTCTGGTCCACAAACTACGTTTCACAACAAAACACACGCGAGAAGTGATAAGGAAATAACG